CCGGAGCCGAGTTGAGCGTGCGGGGCCTGGGCCGGACCCGAGCTGAGCCGCGGTGGCCGGGCCGGAGCCGAGCCAAGCGGGCCGGCGCGCTCGGCCAGAACCGGGGCCGGCGCCCCTGGGGCCGGAGGTGCTCGGCCGGGGCCGGACTGGGCCGCGCCTCCCCGGAGTGCTTCTCACGTCCCCCTCCCACACCCCTGACTCAGCTTACCAGGTGCTGCCTGCCCGCCCCTGCTTCTTTTCAGACTTCCCGCGAACCTCTGATTCGCAGGAAGCAGGGGCGGGGGAGAAGCAGGGAGCGGAGCGTGCAGGGGAGGGGAGGAGGGGGAAGTGAGCTGGGGGCGGGGTGGAGAGCTGTGGTGTTGGGCCCTCTTAGCGCGGGGCCCAATTCAGCCGAATCGGCTGAATCGGCCTAAAGCCGGCCCTGTCTGTATGTATACTGATCTTTTATCCAATACTCTCTCTCTTTTCTTTTTTAATAAATTTTAGTTTAGGTTAATAAGAATTGGCTGTAAGCGTGTATTTGGCTAAGATCTGGAAGATTCATTAACCTGGGAGGTAATGTGTCTGATTCTTTGGAATTGGTAGAACTTTTGTATATGATGAATAAGATTTTCAGCAATCCGCATCATCTTTGACTTGGGCGTCTGGGTGGAGGCCTGAGGCTGAGTTTCTTTAAGGGAACTGTGTTGTCAGCTTCTGAGTAACCAGTGATGTGTTACAGAAGCTGTTTTCTGCTGGCTTGGTAAATCTAAGAATTGGAATATCCACCAGCTTTGGGGATTGCCTTCCTCAGTCTGCAGTTCACCATAATTGGGTGATCTCATTTGGCTTCCCTGGGACTCCAGTCACACTTGTAAATAAACAGGACTGCATCAAAGAAACATCCAACTCCATCATCAATTTTTCCACCTATCTGAAACAACCTGAAAGTCTCTGAATTTTGGCTAACAGCGCAACTCAAAAAGGAATAACAGTGTGATATGAAACAATAAAGCTTCCATGAAAGAGTCTCTAGTTAGTGTGTGGCTCATTAGAAGGTAGCAACATTTTCTGTTTAAAATGAGGCAGATGGCTTTTTTATTATAAAAGGCCAAAATAAAATAAAATTTAAAAAAATCCTGACTAGACTCTGGCCTGTGACCCAGGCTGTATTGGACATGATACTACATCACAGAATGTTTTATAGCGTTAGCTGGTTTGTGCATAGCATTCTCTCTCTGAATGTACATGCACTGCCCTTTTACAGATTACTTTAAAGAACCAAGCTTGCCACAAGTTCAAACTACAGACAACACACTATCCATCCTCACAGAAAATATCCAAACAGAGTAAGAAATCCTTTGAAAGAGGAAGCAAATCTTGGACTAGTGTCCAAATTTAACAAATGGCTAGTTTTACAAAAGGCTGCCAATATAACCAGCACATTTTCCCCCCCAGAGGCAATAAAGTGAGAAAAAAAAATAATGTCCTTGGACTTTCAAGGACATCCTGCAAAATAATGATCTACACCTTCCACAATTGATAATAGATCTAAAGCCCAAATGCCCACAAACCAGTGCTCCAATTTTTGATGAGTACAACAGCCTTTATTTCAGGCCATGTCTCTATAAATCCACAAAGAAGTAAGACTGGAAAATTTTTGCAAGTTTTTGATTGGTGTGTCTGAATCAATAATGGACAGAAATGAACTACAACACTCTGCAATGTCATTCAGGGAAGAAGGATGGGGTTAGTCAAAGGAGAAACAATCATTAACACAAAGAAAGGAGCTGGATTTAAGATCCAGCAAGCTTTAATTAAGAAAGACTGCTGTTGGACTAAGCCATGTAAAAGCATTTGAAAGGTGACAACAAATTTATTCATGTACGGCAATTTGGAGACTTGAAATGCAAGGAATTCAATTTCAAATGAAACGAAGATCAAGTGTCTCTTATAAGCAGGAAAAGAAATATTGTATGTGAAGCTTAATTCAGTGAATCTATCAAGAATGTGAAACCCTGCCAGAACATCATACAAGGGACTGAGGGAAGTATTAAAGTGACATCATCCACCATAAATAATTTCGAAGTCCTTTCAAAGCAAATTATTAGCAAACAATTTGCAAATTATTAGCAAACAATACTATTATAGTATTTAATGTTTTCACCCCTCAGCTCACAGAGAGCCGTTAGTTTTGAAAAGAATACTATTATCGTTAAATAAATAAAGTACAGCAAAAAGTTCCAGTGCCATCAGGAAAAATAATTTGGAGATACTCAAAGACAGTTAGCTTTTCAGCAGCTATTATCTTCATTTTACATCGTCATCACAACCCTGAGGAAAAGGGCTGGAGGTGAGATAAGTCTGAGGCATCCTATGAGGCTAGAGGGTCCAGACCATTACAGGTTACATACCTTGAGAATAATGCAGGTTCTGATAAGGCCTTGTTTTTAGGTGGCTGTAAAGTCCTGGGGCTGGGATGCTCAGGGGGAAGGCAGATTACATAAGGAGCATAGAAACAAAATATTTGTTGGAATTTTGCTTCAATTTTTTTGTATGCAAAATTAAACTTTATTTCATCACGCTTCACAAACCTGTCATTAGATTCTGATTATTAAACCTTTTTGCAAAGATGGTGAAAAGCCCAAATTCACCCGTTTTCACTTTTTCAGATGGCGCTGAGAATTCTATAGTTACATTCGCTTGCCACTAAAATGTCTGCATTTACTAACCTCTCTCTCTCAGGAGCACTGAGATACTGCAGCGACTTCCTGTTCTAGGTTGTATAACAAATCTTGGCAAATGCTGACAACGGCCCAGATTCTCGGTCATGCGCACAAAGGGAGCAGAAACTTCCTACATCTTCCTAGAGAGTGTAGAGACGACACAGGCAACAACTATGCCATCCTCCACAGTAGCCCAGTGTAGAGGGAAGGGAGGGTGAGTGACCAGATCACGCTGTGCTCCCACTATCTCCAGATAGTTCCAGCTGGCATAGATTAGAGCAATCCTTAGCTACTCTAACTTGTGTCTGGGGATGGGCAGAGAATCGTGAAACTCCCTGACGGTATGTCTACACTGCAGCTGGGAGCAAGCTTACCAACCTGGGTAGACAGATGCATGCTACCCCGAGCCCAGCTAGTCTGAGTCTGTCTCCTAGGCAGGGAGGCTCATTTCTAGCTGCAATGTAGACATACCCTGACTGCCCCACTAGGGTGACCAGATGTTCCGATTTTATAGGGACAGTCCCGATATTTGGGGATTTTTTTTAAATGGGCTCCTATTACCCCCTACCCCCTGTCCCGATTTTTCACACTTGCTATCTGGTCACCCTATGTCCCACCCAGTCTGCGCTGCATTGAGTGGATCTTGGTTGCAGGCATAAATCTGCCCTGTCGACTGTAAAATAACCTACAAACTGAGAAAGACTTTATGGGAAACTAAATGAGCCGTTTGAAAATTAGTGTTTTTCTTTTACTGTTACATAAAGTGCTACCCAGAACATTATTCACAATGGCTACAGAGAATAGTCTTACAGTTGCCAAAAGACAGTTGCATGCAGCAGTCTATTAATCCATTTACACCAGTGACAGTTATCGATGTGAATCCTTCACACATCAGTGGTTAATTAAACCTCCTTAGACTATGTAAGGACGTTACAGTCAGTGGATGCAATAACCAGAAAGTTTTCAATCTCTCCTTGTGGGGTTAATGGCTGCCTTAGCAAGTGACAATGACAAGATTCAAGTGGAAAGTCAGATTAAGCACAAAAAACTCTGCATTCCAGAGGTTTCTTGGCAGCAAGAAATATCATTTGGAAGTGCCAAGCTAGAATATCTTCATAGTCATAGATATGAGTGATGAATTCATCCAACACAGTATATGGTTTGAGAGGGAAGCAACTTCTTCCTATTCTGTGCATAACTCAAGATGAGGAAGAACAGATCTTCTGGGCAATCTGTCAACATGTAACTTAACCTTCCTCTAGGCAGTACTCATTGGAAGAGTGGGAGCTTTTAAAGCCCTTACATCATCATGAGAAACTTTAATGTAAGAGAAGAGAGATTATCTATGCCTAAAAATGTTGGAAGTACTGTGGGGGAAAAAGTAAACGCCCTCAAAAATCTAGTAGTGTCTCAACAAACCACAAACCCAGTAGAATGATGAAATAGAAAATCCCCAAGTAGAGCATTTATTTTGTTTTTAATATCAGTATTTTTAGAGTTTTCCTACCCAAAATTGTAGTAACAAATAAATAAAGGATAGTCATATTATTAACATACTACTGGGGAACTACATATGCACTTTTTGAATCATTCTTGCACATAGTCCAATGTTAGTATTACAATTAGAAGTAATTTTATACCTTTCAATATCTTTTTTGAACCTTTTCCTCATTTTTTTTGTCTCATTCCCTCCATGTAAGATCTGCATGATAGCAACTCATTCTCACAGTTACAGCTTCAAGAGAAAATATTTCAGATTTTTAAAAGAATGATCAGGGATTAGAAATCCAAAAACTGAAAATACCAACCCAAAATGGAGTACAATTTTATCTCAATATGGCAGTCACTACAACCAAGGTGCAGCAGCAGTCCTGAAGGCATTTGGACTTGTTTATTTTGGCATAAAGCTCCAACCGTCAGAAGAATGAGCTACTATGTCCAACTTTCCCACCGCAGTTAGGTTAATCTGGTAAAGGTGAATTGGTTTCACTTCTTAAACAAGGATCACTGTTTACCATAACAAACAAACCTGGGTCCAATGAAGAAAGGAAATCTTCAGTAGCTCTTTCTATGTGCCAATTGTTTCTCACGAGTTCTTTCCTGAACTGGAGCGATCTGAGCGACTCATTATAATGGTGCCTGTGTTAAAATAAAGGCTTTGGTGTGAGGTAATCCTCTCAGAGATACACAAAGCGATTACCTGGCACTTTCAGCATCTAGAACACAATCTGCTTTTATGCACTTTAGACTTTAATGAGATGTGTGAAGAATTCGCCATATTCATTCTCTCACGTCACAAGATTAGTATCAATGGTAGTTAACATTCTTGCTGTTACATATACAAAAGTTCCATGTACCGGTTACAGTACCCAGTCCTTTTTAAAGCCCTCTACTTATTACAGCAGTTATGGTAGCAACTCCACATTTAAAGCATCGTTTATATTTTTGCTTAAAGCAGAATTCAAATCCCTCCATTTTTCACTTTAATTGTTACACTTAGTTTCCATATTAAACACAGACTTTCCATTATTATTATTTTATTAAAATATTCACTCCTGGAGAGGAGATTTTAAAAATTATACTTTTTTCCAAAGCTTATTCCCCAAGAGCCTGCCTTTTTATTTATTTATTTTCTTCTTTCCTTTAGTTAAAGAGCCACAGTCCCCAGAATCTCCAAAACACCTAATTCTTACAAGATTCCAGATATGGCTACTTTTTAAATGTAGATTTAAATGCAAAGGGAGTTATTCCCTTGTGCGTCATAACTGAGTTTAACCCTACAAAGACAGGCTGATGCAGCTGCCCAGATCCACCAGCAACTTACATTTGCCTCGCTGCCTCGCCAGCCCTCCTGCTGTGTCTCCAGGCAATAGCGCTTACCACTCCTACTTGCCTTTGTGCTTCCTTGACACCAGTCTCCTTGCAACTTGACTATCTTCAGTAGTGAGACTCCCAATCCAACAGACCAGCTACGGTCTGTTAGAATGGGGCTCCCATCTGGAGATCCATGGGAGGTTTGCCAGACTGAGAGATTGCCTTTATAGAGCTGCAAACTCCACTCCTCAATATACTTGGCCTACAAGAATCCTTCTCCAACCATGTCCTAGTCACTGTTACCAACAGGTTGCACTGAGAGAGTAAGGAGAGGGTGAGAAATGTATCCAAAGTTGCCTGAGAAGACAGATTCTCCATTGAATGAAATCTCTTAATGAACATTAGAGGTGAGCCCCATTTTGATGGACATTAGCAGGTCTGTTGGAATGGGACTCCTGATGCAGGGGTTTAAGATATTAGAGGGAAGATGAGGGCCTGGATAAAAGGGTCATCAGTGGCTTTTTACTGGCTCTGTAAACCCCAATGCACACTGTTCCCAATCCCCAGCTTGCCAAGTCCAGTTCCCTGATGTTCAATAGAATTTTTTTTTCCAGTTCACAATATATTAGTGAGGCCACAAGTAAATATTTCTGCATTCTTCTCTTTTACTACTTTGTTTTTGTCAGTCTTTTACTTCTTTGTATTCTCTTTTGGGGTTTGTTCCTTCTCACCTGTCCTGTTTGTCCCTTGCTTCACTCTCCACTCCTGATTCTTGGTTTTATGCAGCTCAGCTCCCCATTCTACCTCTAGCCCTACTACCCCACTCCATCTGTGAACACAGCAGATCTAAGAGCACTGCTGTGAGGCCAGTAAGACTAAAGGGTAACACTTCTTCCTTAACTCGGGCTATATGTTATGTATAAATTCACTGGTGATCCCGGACATCTCTCCTGGTGGTATTCAGAGAGGTGACTTAAGTTTCCCCCCTTCAAACAATATAAAACACAATTGTAATGATGTCTACCGTTATTTTACAATTTAATTAAAAAAAAAAATCAAACACTTTTTTGTAAACATATAAGAGTTGAGGAAATATATAATGCAAGGCATCAATCTACAGTATGAAACTCTTACCATATTAACACAATCTTCAATGCATTAGTCAATGCAATGCAATCCAGAATCCTTCAATAACCCATTGCACAAAGTTAATTGAGGACTGGGGTCTTGTGTATAACAAAAACTGAGCAGCTACTCTGTGCAGTGTACATTTTAACGGCTGATAGCTTTTCATTTAAACAGTGCCACAATGTACCTACTAATCTACAAATTCCCAGGCTTCTGAATTTATATATACAACTTTACTTAGATACATATGTATCATGTTTTATATAGAAACACACAATATTATATTATAAACACTACAGTAAAACATGGGGGATAAAAGGCAGAAATTTTAAATGTATCTATTCCCTTTCTTACAGAGAATACTTCCCCTACATTACTGGTGGAACTAAAATATTGCTACTTTTGATCATTAATATCAATACAAACCTAATTTCTCTGTCCTAAATTAATCCCTCGTGTAAATACACTGCAATCAGCCCTCAATCTCAACAGGGGTACAACATTTAATTCATTGTGTCTACTAACAATACTGTTTTATATTCAGAAATACACAGCAATATGCAGTAACTGACTGGAATTAGATCCAGTGGGTCCCTCCCTCCTCTAGCTCATGGTGCATGAGGAACATATTGCACTGCCATGCAAATCTTAAACTCACAAAGAACAACTCATTTCCCCTCTGCATTGCAGGACCTGCTACTCATGTTAGAATTTATTTCACAACCAGAGGAGGTTTTAGCAATCCACCAAAAATACCTTTACTGTGACCCGCAGTGAGAAAAGCACACTCAGGGGTGGGGTGGGGGGAATAAAATCTATTACTCTTTCTCACTATACAAGGCAACGCAAAGTTGCGGAAGCCTTCGATTGGCACAGCAGCCAGGGTGATGTTTTGTCAAATTAGACCCATAATGAGGAAGTAAAATTCCTTAAAACAGATACTTTTTATCTTCACTGTGCCTCTCGATCCCCCAACAAATTTCAGGGACACATTTCCCAAAACATCAGGGAAAATAATCTAGATTGCCTGCATAAAATCAGCATATGTAAATCATGTTTATACAAATTAGAATTCTGCTTTACTACCACATTTTTAATCCTAAAAAAAAAAAAAAACCCACCCAGAACTGCAAGTTATTCTCATGCCCCCTAACAGGACACAATATAACAACACAGTAAAGTGTGTGATTCAAATTGCTGATCAGAAGAGAGAGCTATGTACAATAATGCTTGATTTTACCCCTTTTTTTCTGTTATCAGAATATCTTTCAGCTTGCTACTAAAATTCTAGAGGAATACACAGTGAGGTAAGCAATCAGTTCTTAATTTACTAAGCAGGATAAGAGTATATTGTATGTACCTGATTCTCAACTGGTATAAATCGGCATAACTCTACAATGAAGATATGCCAATTTATGCTAGCTGAGGCACCATCCCTATTATATCTTTAACAAAAATGGAAGTGACAATTAAGATCGCTTGGCATGTCATTTTACCAAAACACTGAATTTATATTTAAGGGACTGGATTAAGCACAAGGCATCAGGTATTAGTGCTTATTTCAGCTAGAAAGCAGAGAGCTCAGTCACTGCTTTGAGGCAAACTGTTAATCTTATTCTTGCTAAAATGCTTGTTTCACTTTTTCTTTTCTATTACCCACTTAAATTTTAGCGTTTAGGTAACAATTGATTAATAAAAGAAAGCATGAGAAATTGTCACAATAAAAGTTGGTTATTAGTGTGCTCTAAACTCTGTGATGGGTAAAAAGCTACAAAGAAACCAAAATGAACACAGTTTATCACATTAATAAGTGAACTCTCCACCTGAACTGTTAGTGCACAAATTTTTGGGTGTCACAAATCTCTTCATAATTCTCTTCAGGTACCCTCTCTGTACAGATTGTGCACTTGGTTGCTCACATGACACTGTGGTTATAATCACTGACAAAATATATACATATATAGTTTACATTTATATAGCACCTCTTATCCAAAAGGATTCCAAAATATCTTACAAACCAAATGCTTACAACCAGCATGTCTACTGACTTCAAAGGGAGCTGTGAGTACAGAAGGCTTGTAGGATCAAGGCCTGGATGACTACAGGGCTCACTTCACCTGGAACAACTACAGCTG